ACCTTGATAGCCTTTCTTGGACGGGACTTGCCTACATCATCAGACTCAGTCTTAAGTTTCCTCTTGGCAGGAAGTTCTTCCACCTCTTTCTCATCTTTAGCTTTTGTTTTTTCTTTAGCAAAATACTTGCTCGTTTTTCTTCTAGCAGCAGTTTCCAGGTCTTCACTAGCCTGTTAATCAGCTCCAAGTGTTAAGCAAAAACAACACTTAATTCAGTAAACAAACCAAAATATATACGACTATAAAAGCAACTAGCATATAACTCACTCTCGATGGCTCTGAAAACAAGTAAATACAAAAGAAACAAACAATGTGTGTTTCAAGTTTCATTCAACCTCAAATAATGCGATGAGAATAGGGGAAAACGTTGCAAAGAAATCGCCACTAGCATCCCTTTTGCTTGCAATACCTACTACATTGTTTTTACTAAGATACACCACACCACACTATACATATAGAGCAGAAAACCTGACCTGCTCTGATTTTATGGGTGCAGTCTCTGCTGCATTTGACTTGGAAGACGTCGATTTAGAAGCATTTCCATTCCCTTTTTCATGGGCTTTCATAAACCACTTCCTAATATCCGACTGCAATACAAGTACAATAGATGCTATCGTTAATCAGCCTACACCACTTCACATACCTATAATTCGAGGATAAATTCTTGTACCCATGATTTTCTGGAGAATCAAAACAAATCAATGGGAGGACCAAAACGAAATTTCAACTCACCATTTGCCCGTCTCGATACTTGGACTACCAAAGAGCACAATGCTGCAGCAAGCAACCCAGAAATTAGAATTTTGGAATAAACGAAGACTCGTGATCGAGTGAAGTGGAAGCATGCATAAACCCTAGAAACAGACAAGATCAACAGAATCCAGAAACATATATTTTCTCTGAGGCCGAGCCGAGGCTTTTCAATTTTAGGGTTATGCGAATCTTACAAAATAAAAGAGGAAGAAGAGAATTAGAGAAACGAAACCGAACCCTTGCTTCTCCTCCGGCAAATTCTCTGGCTACAAGCGATTTAGGC